AGAGGAGGACATTGGATCCACTGGAACTGAAGTTACAGAGTCAAACCCATCTCTCCATCCCTTGTTTTAATTTTTTGAGACAGGGTCTTGCTCTGTGGTCGAGGCTGTACTCATAAGTTGAACTTCCTTTGATCCTCCTGCCTCAGCATCCTAATGCTGGCATGACAGGGCTTTGTGACCTAAATGTAGGCTTGTTTTGCTTTGTCCTAAAGAGCTTCTTGTTAATATGTAGTCAGATGTATCAGTATTGCTTTTGTTGCCTTCTGGTTTTGAGTCACAGTTAGAAAATATTTCCTTGTATTGTGGTTAGGGAGTAAGTCTTTAAAGTTTTAAAATGTATTTATATAATGCATATGGATGTTTTGCCTGCATGTACTTACACCACATACATATCTGGTACAAAGGTCAGAAAGGGTGTAGGAACCCATGGAGCTGAAGATGGTTGTGAGCTTCCTTGTGAATTCTGGGAATTGAACTTGAGTCCTCTGGAAGAGCAGCCAGTGCTGTTATCCAGTGATCTATCTTTCTAGCACCATTGGTTTATTTTTAAGTATGATATCAAAGCCAAGTATCATAGTTACATACCTTTAATCCCAGCATGGAGGCAGACACTTGTGGATCCATGTGAGGTAGAGGCCAGCCTGGTGTACTTAGTGAGTTCCAGGACAGCCAGAGATACATAGTAAAACCCTGTCTGCAAAAAACAAGCAAAAAGGTATCAGGTAAAGGTTTAGTTAGGTTTTCTTTGTTGTTGTTGTTATTTTTCTTTTTTCAAATGACTACCCAGTTATTCAAATAACTTACACTGTATTTAAAAGTTAGTCAGGTGTGATGGCATGTATCTATAGCCCAGCACTTGAGAGGATAAGGTAGGAGGTTTGCTGTGAGTTAAGGCCAGCCTAGGATGCATAGCAAAACCTTGTCTTTAAGAAGGGTGTAGCTTGAAAGATGGCTCAGTGGTTTTGGCACTTGTTCTTGCAGAGGACCGGATTCAGTTCCCATCACCCACATAGCAGCTTACAAACATCATAACTGTAGTTCCAGGGGATCCAAAGGCCCCCTCTGAACTCTACAGGCAATAGGAATATAAATGGTGCACATATACACACACACACACAAAACACTTATACTCATGAGATAAATAAATGAATTTTTTAAAAGCCCATTCATAACCCAGTGATATGGGTGACAACTTTCTATATAATTTGGGAATTTTTCTAGACTTTGAATCCTGTCGCTTTGATCTACTTGCCTGTTTTTTGCACAAGGCCCCATCCATAGTTATTATACAGTCATGATGTGTTTTAATGTCCAGAGCGTTTTCCCCTGGGTACTTCGGGCAGTTTTTTTTTTTTTTCCTGTGCCCTTTAGTACCTATTCATGTTACTCATGAACTGTTTATAGCTTGTTGGTATTTTTGCTGGGATTTAAGTAGAATTTTCAAAATAACTTGGGGAGAATACTCATCTTTGTAGTCTCAGGTCATCCTATCTAAGAATAGGGGACTTTCAGAATTAGTTCTTATGTACTTCATGCCTTGAGGAATGGTTTAAGTTGTCACAGGGTACTTAACCTGTATTCTCAGCATTGCTGAGGCAAAAGCGGGAAGATCAGTTCAGAGTCATCCTTTGCTACTTAGCAAGTTCAAGGCCAGCCACTTAAGACTTTAATTAAAAAAACAAACAACCTTATCCCCGACTCCAAAAAAAATTCTCTAAACCAGATATGGTAGCGAATGCCTATAATCCCACCTTGGCAGCTTCAGCAACCACCTGCAGACATGTGGCACACATAAACTCACACAGGCACACATACGGACACACGAATAAATGCATTAAAGGAAAAAGAAAAACCCAAAGCATGTACTTTTTTGCTTCCTGTTTTAGTTTAGTTGTTTGCTTGTTTTAATTTTTAATTTATTCTTCTCTCATATATCCAAGAGCAGTTTCCCCTCTCAGCCTCTCCCCCTCCCCCACCTTCTTTCTTTCTTTTCAGAAAAGGGCAGGCCTCCCATGAATATCATGGCATATCAAGTTGCTGTACGACTAGGCACCTCCCCTCATATTAAGGCTGGAAGAGGTAACCCAGTTAGGAGGGAAAGGGTTCCCAAAGCAGGCAAAAAAGTCAGAGACAGCCCCTGCTCCCACTGTTAGGAGTCCCACAAGAAGACAATGCCACACAACTGTAACATATATGCAGACGACCTAGGTCAGTCCCATGCATGTTCCCTGGTTGTCAGTTCAGTCTCTGTGAGGCCTTATGAACCCAGGTTAGTTGATTCTGTGGGTTTTCTTGTGGTGTCCTTGACTCCTCTGACTCCTACAATCCCTTCCTCCCCCTCTTCTATAGGATTCCCCAAGCTCCGCCTAATATTTGGCTGTGGGCCTCTGCATCTGTTCCCATCAGTTGCTGAGTGAAGCCTCTCTGATGACAATTGGGCTAGACACCAATCTATCAGTATAGCAGAATATCATTAGGAATCATATCATTGCCTCTCTGTTGTTGTTGTTGCCAGTCCTGTTTGTTTCTATCCTAGGTCTCTGGATTATCTAGCGTCTGGGTCCTGGTCCTCCAGACATGTCAGGGGTGGGCTCCCTCTGCTGGCATGGCTCTCAAGTTGGACCAGTCATTGGTTGGTCACTCCCATAATTTCTGTACTACCTTTACCCCAGCACATCTTGTAGGCAGGACAAATTGTAGGTTGAAGGTTTTGTGGCTGGGTTGGTGTTCAATCCTGGTTTTCAGCAAGAATGTGTTTTTGTTTTGAAATAAATAGGCTTACATTTCAAATGATGTTTAGTATCTCTGGAGGTAATTGTGCCATTGTTTTCCTCATGAGGACTAACATGAATGGTGTTCTTGGATCTCCTAGCATTGAGCCTGTCTTTCATTTCCTTCCTGGTCATAGTATGTACTTTCCTTAATGTGATGGTAGAGATCCTGTCTCCTTATAAACTTGACAGGGTGTGGAATTAGACAAACCTCCCAGGCACACCTATGAGGGGTTGTTTTGATTAGGTTAGCCTCTGGTGTGCCTGTGGTAAATCTAGTACTCAATCACATGTGGTGAAATGTCTCCTCATTGAATAAACTTATTATGTTTCAAAAAACCCAGACCTGAGCCATCTACACCCTTTGACATCAGACATGAAACTATAGCATTTGGAGTTTCCTCTGTAGGTTTCCATCTTGCTTTCATCCAGGAGTTCCTCACTAGGTCCATATTCCTTCCTTTTGGCAATGCTGCCAGTCCTGATAAGACCTGACAGGCTAGGGTCACATGGAAGGGGAGGTCCTTCTCCCCTTATCAGTAGTCTGGGGTAGGGGCATGGGAGGAGACAAGGGGGGGGCTACATACAAAGTGAATAAACTGTAATTAATATAAAGATAAATAAAAATTTAAAAAGACTAAGATCTCCTTAGCAGGGTGGGGTATTTCTGGGAATTCCTAGATGCTAGCTGGAATGGTTTTCTTATCAGGAAAGGATCTGGCCTGTAATCTGCCCTGAGAGCTATGTGACACTCCTTTCAAGACCTGGGGTTACCCAGATCATGGGTGGAGGGGATTTTTAAGGCTTCGCTGAGAAAAAAGGAGTCCACCATCATAGACTGAGCACAAATAAATGTCTTTGGAGGTGTCAGACTTTAACCTAACCAGCAAAGCCCCCCCCATCTTTTTTTTTTTTTTTTTTTCTGCACCATTATGGCCTCTAACCATCTGGAACTATAAACTCAAATAAACTCTTTTCTTTGAGTTGCCATAATTGTAGTGTTTATATTGTTAGCATTTATTTGAAAATGATGCCACTCACACAACATATTATGAAAGATTTATTGGAGGTGGAAAGATAGAGAGGAAAAGGAAGAGAGAGACATGGTGGGGCCCCCAGGAAAGAAAGTGAAGAGAGCAAGAGAGACAAAGTGGCGGGTTGGTCCTTTTATAGCTTGTGCAGGCGCAGCTGAACTGCGTCTGCCACACACCTGGTGGGTGACACATGATGACATCATAGGTTCCTAGGCAACCCAGAAGCAGGCTGCCTAAATACTATCATATATAGCAATAGAAAAGCAACTAATACAGATGGTAATGACTAAAACTCACTATATAGGTTTGAAACTTTCAATGAATAAATTTTAAGAGCTACTAGGAATTATTAAATAAATGATACTATAGATAATAAACACAGCTGGGGAAACTCAGTCTTGGCAAGGAACAGTGGTTTACAACTGAGTGTAGGTGTTGGAGAGCAGCGAACCATACTAGGAAATGTTTTCTTACTTGGGAGGTGTCCAGAAATAGGCCTTTCTGGGTGGCCACCACAGGGATGTTCTGGCCCTGGCCTGAGGGTGATTTGGTGAGTGTTTACAGAGTTCCCCCTGACTCTATCCCCTAGAACAGGATTGGTCTAGGGGTGTGTCTTGGGGTATTAGGACATGATACTTCTCAAGTGTGGAAGGCCTGACCACCTTTGTAATTAACCTTCTTTAGTTCGTGTGGATGGGAAAACCAGATGTTAACTCTCCCCAAGATTACCTGGTTACGGGCTGTGTGTGCAGACTGAGATCAATAAAAGTAATTTGTTCTTCTGTGCCAGTAAGAGAATTATTCACAAGTGAGCCATGCGTCCTGCAGTAAGAAAGAATGCAACTCGATGCTAAGCAAGATGTGTTGAGGCATATAAGTAGTTCCCTGAACATAATTTATAGGTTTGGTACATTTTCAATAAACCAGTCACAATAGTTTATTATAAGAGTTTCAGCCAAAATTGTTTAAAATGACTATTTTAAATCTATCAAGCCAAGTAACTACAGACAGCGCTTGAGCTAACAAGGTTAAATGTAAGTGATGGCTGTTAGTCCTGAAAGTCATCTCCACACATGGTCTATAAAGTTTTCCAGCTTCACAGGGGTCTGTTGTTGGAGCTGAAGTTTTCTGAAAGTAAATTCAGTCATTGCTGTATGTTGTCTGAGGTTATCTAAAGTGAAATTTTGTGTTTCAGAAACGGGCGTGCAGGAGGTCAGAAGCTGGCGGGCATGAGTGCACTGGCCACATGCTAAGCACCCGTGCCCTGGTATCCTGGAGTACAGAGGACCAGGAGCCATGGTCACGAGGCCCACCTGCACCACGACCAGACTGTAGCCAGGAGAGTCTGAGCTCAGTGGTATGTTCCTCTTGCCCCCAGACCCACTGTGAGCCCATAGAGTTCATTCAATAAATCGCTGATGCACCGATGCCTGGGATTTGTTTACTAGATGCTGCACAACGGTGGAAGGAGTTCAGCCCAGCCTTGCCTGAGATGTATTGCGGGGGAATCTGTAAGTGTGTTTTGTGACCTCACTGACACATAAATGATAGAGTTCTTAAACATCAGATCTGTAAAACAGTCAATAAAATCTGCAGTTACATGCATAAAGACTGAGATGTGTTAGAAAAACTAAAGGTTAGTTTGAGGTATTTTTAGCATTCTGTTGAGGAAAAAAATGTTTCAGCTTCATTTTCAGAAACAAAAATTATAAATCAATTTAAAATTCCCACTGAAAACCATTTTTTGTAAATGTGTGAAGGCGTTGATAACTAGAAAGCAACCTTGAGGAAAAGAAGTTGACCCTTTACTCGGCTAAAATACAGAACTTGAAGGTCATCTAAATTTAAATTTAAATTTAAATCATTTAAATTATCTCAACAGAAATCAGGATTGGGTTTTTCCTCATCTGCTTAAAGTTTTCTAGTGTGTGTCTATAAACTTTAACATAAATGCTAGATTTCTGAAGGAAACAATGTTTGCACCATCAGTTCAAAGTAAAGGGGAGGTCAAAGACCGCCAGTCAATTCTCAGCCTCTGCTGTAGGGTAGAATATCATAAAGTATATATTAGCATAATAATGCCTTTGTTATTAATTTTGAACTTACTCTAAGAACAAGTTAATATGTTTTTGATAACCTCTGTAATTCTTGGGTTTTTTATTTTAAATTTGAAACCTCAATATTGTAATAAAATAGAACTGTAGTTAAATTCCACATAGAAACCAGGAGAGTAAGCATGTGTCTGAGTATGAGTGTCAGACATTGCCTCCTGAAGATCTTCAGAGAAGTGAATTGCTGTTCCTGATGAGCAAGAGATTGGTCCGTAACTTACAAGCATCTTCAGCTGACATAGGTCTACCTACTACAATGACAGGCATCATTTTTGCACCTAGACAGAGCTGGCACCTGGGTAGCTTCCATTCACATGAACCAGAGTTGCTGAAGTCATTGGAGCGATACAAAAGCAAACTTCAGTTCCGTGCTTTCTCCATGGAGGTGTGCTTTGCTACTCTCTGTTGTCTGTTTGCAGAGCATCATGCTGCATGTGCACTGTAGTTCTGAACAGTGGTAGAATTCACGATGCAGTCATTTGGATTTAGTATATTTAGGTTGGTTCTCATGGCTTCCAAGTATATCCTAGGATGCAGATAAGTCATACTTTGCTTGAGCATTGTCCCTGACTGAGGTCGACTCACCTCTCTGCCTATGACTGGTGGGTCTCTTTCTTATCCCCAACCCCATATCCATGGAATATAGCTTTCGTCTCCTCCTGTCTGTCTGAGGCACATTTGGAAGTTGTGTGAATTCTTAACAGTCTAAGAGCTTGTGTTCTGGCATGAATGGCTTAAAGAAGAAAAAAATTAGCTCAAGTACCTGATTGGATCATTTTGGCTAATATTCTGTTTGAACAACAGTACCTGTTTGCTTAGGGTTTTCTGTTTCTTTGTAATTCCCCAGGCTTGCTTCCTTTACTTTCATAGGAAATGAATCTATGAACAGAAAACCTACATTGATATGTAAATATCATTTTTTTGGTTAATGCTCAATATTCTTTTCATCTAAATTTCAGAAACTGACTTTAAAAAATCAGTTTCCTTTTATTTGTAGTTATTCCCAATAAAATTTTACTCAGGCTTGGGCGGTTTAATATTTACACCCACTATTTCTAAAAGCCTTATGTAAATAAAGATTGAAATGTGAATTTGAAAAGTCACACCTCCTGATATTTGAACAGACTATGCTGCATATATCTTCTTTTTCTAATAATATGGCTAGTTTCTCTCCTAAGCTTTTAAAATAATAAGACACTTACTATTTTTATATTCTAAAACATCAAAAGGTTCAGTGTTAAATAAAAAGCAAATAGTGTTTTTAGAGATGCAGGGTCCCAGGGAGCAGCACTTAGGAGCAAATCACTGGTGGGCAGCGACTGTAAACTTTGGAGGACTTTATTAAACCCAGGCTCATCCATAGCCGCTTCCTGCATGCACAGTGCTTCCCTGCCCGCTCACCGCTCCTCACCTGACTCAGGATGGCTCCCCTGTCTCTGATGGAAGTGGAGTCTATATCAGTGTAGCTTACGTGGATTCCCTAAGAGCAGCCTCACATGTGCCTCACAGCTTGTTTGGTGGCTTTCCCCGAAAGCTGCTGTAGAACCCGAGCCTCTCCCATATTTCTGTAATGCACTAATCCAACTGATACTACCTGCTCCGAATCCTAGGCAGAGCAGAGCTGTCTCTGTGTCTCTGAGCTCCTGCTCTTTAACTGTCTTTTATCTGTTTATTTGCATGTGTATATATTTGTATGTGTGTTGTGTGCTTGCCTGAGTATAGACACACATGTGTGTTTGGACATGTGTGGAAACTCAAATTTGACCTGGGGTATTTTTCATGATCCCTTTCCACTTATTCATTGAGGCAAGGCCTCCCACTGAAAATGGAGCTCACTAATTCTGGCTATTCTAGCTGGCCAGTTTACCCCAGGGATCTCCTGTCTCTGCCTTCCATGTACTGGGATTATGGGTGGGCCTCCTTGACTGCTCGTCTTTTCCATGGTCTTAAGGAAGAGTTACAACGGGGAAGTTATAAGAGAGAGATTCATGATGTGGGTGGGGTTATAAGGGAGAGGCATTGAGTGGGGGTTATGAGGGAGATCCATGAAGGGTCAGAGAGTCATAGGGGGAGAACTATGGGAAGAAAGCCCCTTGTGAAGGCTCCTCATTCCAAGTTGATTTTGGACATTGTCTAATTAATTAGTATTACCAAACTTCTCTCCTCCTCCCTTCCCCTCCTCTCCCATCTAAGTGAAAATAATAAATCTCTATACTACTGTTCATCATGTGTTGACATAGAAATCTGATAGTGGTTAGTGGTGTGTGTGTGTGATGTCTGTACATCATGAGTGTAATACATGCATGTATGTGGTATATGGTATATTTGGTATATATCAATGTGTTTGTATGTCGAATGCATGTTCATTATATTTATGTATGTGTCTGTGCTTATGAATGTGTGGTGTGTGTGGAATGCATTATATATATCATACCCGTGCATGTATGTGTGTGTGTGTGTGTGTGTGTGTGTGTGTGTGTGTGTGTGGTGTGTGCATGTGGTGTGTGCATGTGTAATACATAGGTGTGTGTGGTATATATGTGTGTGTGTGATATGTGTGTGCAGAATGCATGACTATGGTGTATTTGTATAATGCATGAATATGGTATATGTGGGTTTAATACATGGGTGTAGTGTGTGTGTGTGTGTGTGTGTGTAAGCATGCATTCTTGTGTGATAAGTTATGCAGAGATAGAGTGTAGGGGTGTTTAGAAGGAGGTGTTTCGTGTAAACCTGCGGCTGGCTTGGAGCCCCTAAACAGACAGCAAGAGACAATGTTTGACATTTCTGTTTTGAGTATAGCCCCTTTTTGTACTTCTCTTATATGTACGAGTGTCCTGTCTGCGTGTCTGTGTACACTACATGCATGCAGTACCTATAGGGGCCATAAGAGGACACCAGAGTCCTGAAACTGGAGTTACAGACAGTTTGAGCCACTTTGTAGGTGCTTGGAATCCACTGGGTCCTCTGGAGGAACAGCCAGTGCTTTTAACCACTGAAGCATCTCTTCAGCACCCTCTGTACTTTTTCCTGCAAAGGAATGACCCTTAAAACACTTGGGTTCCTTAACTCTGCAGGTTGCTGATAGTTGTTTCCTACTTCTGTGTCCTCTTTGAGTGTTATGCAGAAGCAGGACTATCTAGGTGGCAGCCATCCCTCCCTTTTCTTGTGCCACAAAGAAATGGTGTCACACCTGGTGTGTCAGTCTGAAGGTCAGGCTGCATGAGAGGACAGAAATGAGATGTTGGTTCTGACAGTAGATAGACTGGGGTACAGCACTTTACCCTGTATGTTTCAGAGACAACCTATTCTGTCAGCCTTTTATACTCATGTCCTGAGAATAGAAAGTCCCATGTCTTAGGTGTGTCAGTGGAGATAAACGATTGGACAGCATGCCTCTGGTCTGGGAGAAGGGGTCAAGCTCTACATTTGACTAACTTGTGGTCTGCAGGCAGCGTGCCAGTACCACAAGCCACACTAATGATGCTGCAGCTGCCTCACTCCCTCTGAGAAGAGCAGCAATGGTGCCCTGCTGCTCTGGACTTCATTCATAATGCAAGAAGAATCTTGGTTAAGATCTCAGCTGGTTCATTTATGCTGTGAGGGGAAAAAGGTGGCCAAGGAAAGAGCTCAGGCTGAGCTGGAGTAGACCAATGGCAGTTCTCAAATGTCACTCTGACAGCACCTGGCCATTCATGTTTTCTCTGGAATATAGTAACCAGATGACAACTAAAATTGTAGTTGTGTTATTTGGGCCATTTCAAGGTTCTAAGGGTACTAGGGGTTTGGAGTGACTAAAATGAAAACTAAAAAAAAAAAAACAAAAAAAAAAAAAACAAAAAAAACCCCAAAAACAAACCAGAAAACTTAATTTTTTACTTTCTATAGACTTATTCAAGCTGAGCTGGTACAGGTATGTCCCTTGATTGCTGCAGAGAGCTGTTACAGAGAAGTGATGGATTACCTCTCACTAACAACACCTGCTCACCGTGGAGTATTTTCTTTGCCATGTTCAGGGGTCTGCAGCTTGAGAGCAAGCAGCTGCTGCGCTAGGCTGCGGACTGGAGGACTAGCTTCCTTTCTCCTGGAATACTTAGTTATCAAAACTGATTCTAGAAGGGAACACACACAGGCCGCTAACAGTGGCAGAAACAAAGAAAGGTATTAAAAAGCATTCCTCGTAGTTTTGTTGTTATTGCTTTTGGTTTACTACACCTAATATGAAAGGACACTTGGCTGATTTAACATTAGAAAAATGAAAACAAGCGATCATTGCATTTCACTGTTAGATCTAGGCCCTGTTCATAATGAATTCAGAGCTGTGTGTGGTGGCTTATGCCTTTAATAATACTCCTTAATGCTCAGTAGTTTGAGCCAAAGAGGATTGTGGTGAATTGGAGTCCATGGATCCATAGGAGTTCCAGGCCAGCTAGGACTGTATAGCAAGACTCTGATTAAAAAAAAACAAAAAACAAAACAAAAACCTAATTACTTAGTCTCACGAACCATGGACAGAGTTTATCCTGTCAAAAGTTGAGCACAATACTTCATGGAAGTGTTCCCATTGTTGAAGAAGAAGACAGGGACACTTGCTGCAGCTGTTCCTTGTAGGTTTAGATTTTTCACCAAACCTACTTTATTTAGGGTTCTTAAGCACCTTTACCTCCTTTCCAACCTCCTACAACTGTAGGTAGGAGATTAGTAGAGAAAAAGGCTGTAGTCCTCTTTTATCTGTTTTCTGCTAATGAGGATTGATGGATTGTTAGCGGATTTCCAGACTCAGTCGTCAGCATACTAGCAGTCCAGGTCCAAAGGCCAACACCAAGCAGCAACACGAAGTCAGCAAAAGCTGCAAGACTCAGTTGGATTGCCCAGAGAAGCTCTATGGAACGTTTCTCTCTACAAAGTTAAGTGTGGAAGCATGAAAGATCAGCGTAGCAATGTTGATCCAAAAAGTGATGTCTCACTGTATGTGGGCCTCTATATATGTCCTCTCCTTAGAGTTCACCCACGGATGTTCTCAGCTGGTCAAAGTCATGCCCCTACCACATGAGATCCCACAGCAAAACATCACATGCCCTTTCACAAGCCAACCTGGGCAAAACACATATGCTCACCTTGCAGCAGAACATCACGTGACAAAAGTGAATCCAGAAATTTCCACTTCAGTTCCTGCTCTGTTTGAGTTTCCAGCTGGCAAAGTAAGCCAAGAACAAAGAAACAATGAGTAGAAGAATTGACAAGGAAAAATAGAAACACTTAAAGTGTTGTTTCTAAATTATATAGCTGTCTACATAAAATATCCAAGAAAGCCTACAGATAAACTACTAAACAAGATGGCTGAGTATGTAAATAGGCAAAACCAGAGCATATGTTCACTAATAATAATCTAGAAAATAAGCCGCATTTATGTTCTTCCTACTTGTGCAGGTGTTTACTGTCAACTATTCTTTGTGGATTTCATTATTTTAGTAGGTCCGACACAGGGCATTATCTATGTTGGTTTGTCTAAGAATGTCTTAATCTCTAAATTAGTTTTGAAAGATAGTTTTGTTGGAACTAGAGTTCTTGATTGATAAGTTTGCCCTGAGGAAGCTCTAGGAAGGTATCTAGCAGTGAGCACAGCTAAAAGCCACTGGGCATGAGTCCATTTCCATCCCAGTATTAGATGCAAATAAGAACTTGAGGCCTGTGAGATGGGTCAGGGGGTTAGAGTGCTTGCTGTCAGTCTTGATGACCTGATTTCCATCCCTCCATCCCCAAGACCCACATAGGAGAGAGAGAACCAAGTCCTCAAAGTTACCCTCTGATTTCCACATATATGTTGTGGCTTGTGCATATATCTACACAACATACACACAAAATAAACAAATAACATCCTTCAAAACAGTCTGTCTTGCTTAGTGAGAAAAGACTGGAATTTTGGTTTATTTTCCATTGTAGCTTTAGATTCCCTATGGTCTTACCAACAGAAGCAGGCTTTCTATTTGTCTGTGGTGAGACATATTACCAGAAACAACGAGACCTGCTCTTTGCCCTTGACTTCACCAAAGCTTAGACCCAGGGAGCAAACCATTCCTATCAGACATGATTTTGGTTTTGGGTGTATGTTATCTTTGAGTCCCAGAACCTCAGGGCTTCAGCCCCTTCCCACCCCAGTCTATCATGTGTAGATCAGGCCTCTCTTCAGTGTCACTGTATGCTTTGTAATCTAAAAGACACTGACAAAGTAGGCAAAGTGTGAAAGACTTGGGAGGCAAAACTGGACATGATAACACCTACCCATAATTAAAGCACTTGGGATGTGGAGACAGAAGGGCCAGGAGTTTAAGAGCAGCCTTGGCTACATTGGAGTTAGAGGCCAGGTTGGTTTACATAAAACCCTGTTTCAAAAAACAAAAATATTTAAAAGAAGGAAAAAGAAATCAGGAATGAGTTGTGGTAAGTGGAGATTTAGGGATAGAACAAGTGAGGTCTAAATGGGCAGTTTCTGAGGACTGCAGGTCACTGTGCTCATCTTGATGTGACCTGTCTTGGTCCTGAGTCTCTATGTTCCACATTCAGCCTATCTTCCAAGTGTAAGCAGGTGCAGAACTGAGCTATCTCAATGAGTACCTTTTTAATTAAAAAGAAAACCAATTTGTTTTTCAAGCTTTGTGGTGGTGATGGCGTAATTAGAATGGAATTGATTAAGGAGTGTTTACCCAATCTAACCCCCAGATCCTAGACTTTCCTTTAGGGGAAGCTCCGCCTACTTCAGTATCTTCCCAGACTTCCCTGACCTAGTCCCATACCACACAGGAGCCTAAGGGGGAAGAGTCCTGTGGAGAAATTTGGGACATGCTGCATTCTTTTTCTGGAGAACTGTTGTCCTGGACTATGAAAGACCTTCAGGACTACAGGACCTTATTTCTAAATGGATACTTCTGCTCATCATTCTTTCAGGATTGTGGGAGCATGACCTGTGTTTTCTTCTCTAATAGTGTATGTTCTGATATGATGATCTTCTATGATCCTGGATGCTCTTATAGGATATTCTTCTGTGGTGTTGTATGTGTTTATATGATTTTAGATTTTCTTCTATGATCGTGTATATTTATATATGAAATTTAAAAATTCTGTGATTTCATGTTTGGGTATGTTCTTATATGCTTACCTGAGATCTTGTATATTCTTGTATGTGCTTATATGATTGTGTGTTCTTATATGATATTCTTTTATGATCTTATATGATATTGATCTATGATCTTGTATAGTCTATGCTCTTCTGGCTTTATTTATAATGCTGTATGTTCTATGGTATTCTGAGATTTTTCTATGTCTTGTGTGTTCTTGTATGTATTTACATGATTATCTTTTATGATGATGTATATTTTTATATAATATTCTTATATGGATGATCTTTTGTGGTTTTTAAATTTGCTTGTATTATGATCTTCCATGTTCTTATGATGATATTAGATGTTCTTCTATGATCTTTTATGTTGTATGTTCTTAAATGATGATCATCTGTGATCTTGTATGTTATATATGTTTGTACATGTTCTTTATATCATGGTTTCATAAATTTTCACATGTCCTCACAATGCTCTCACATGTTCTGAGTAAACTCTCCTCTTTTCTCCATCATGGTATGTAGTGTTCTCTTGAGCTCCAGAGCTCGAGCTTCCAGACAGATACTTTAATCTTGCCTGTGTGCTGCATGCACAACAGGCTCCTATTGTCACAGGTTCTAGACCATTCTGACCTCAACGTTGTTTTCATCATCTAAGATGCTTTCTGTCTCATAAGGTAGACACACAAGTGCTTATCCGGCATTCATGCCACTTTTTTTCTCATGGCCCAGGTAAACCACAGAGCCACCAGTATAAAATCGGTACACGGCCACCTGCCAGTCTTCTCCAGGCAAGGCCCAAATCTCTCCCCCTGACAGCACCTGCTTTCTGGAGAATGATGAGACCCTTGACTGGATGGTCACTTCCTCATTTCCTGGCCACACAAACATTTGTAGGCCTCAGCCCCCTCAGTGAGTCCGTTAGTGTCTTGGGTGGGCCTTGTAGGCAGGGGTGCCCAGTCTTCCTTTGCTTGTGGCCAAGAGCCCTTTGCTGGGACCTCTTAGTGCAGCACCTGGCCAACTGTCATCCCCAATCATCTGCTTCTGCCATCTACTTCTGTGGGGCCATGGGAGGCCTGCTCCAGGAGGATGGGTAACGTGCCCTGGTGGGGACCATTATGATCCTGGGCTACTTCCAGATGGCCGCGTGAGGTCAAGCCACACTGCTATTGTTTTGAATCCTGATTTAGTGTTTTGACAGCACATTTAAAATTTTTATTTTACAATTAGCTGAATGATGTTTTCATTCTTTTTCTTCAATAAAGTATATAATATTTGTTTAGAATATTATTTGGAATAAGTACCTTACTTACAGTATAACACACTTTAATACATCTATAAATTATGACTTAGAAGTCATTATTTACAAGTGCAAGCTGGGCCAGGTGTCATATTCCTGTAATCCCACTACTTGAAAGGTGACACACAATAGCTAGCCCAGTGTGTGTTTTTATATCCCTCTCCCCTATTGATATACTAATTTCTTTGAGACAGGGTTTCACTCTGAAGCCCAGGCTGTACTGTAGCTACTTATTATGTAGCACAGGCTGGCAGTGGTCCAGTGATAGCTTCACATGGCTGGGATTACAGGCATGTGCCACCACACCCACCTTAGCCCAGTTCCTATAAATGGTGTTCTCTGTGTTAGTGAATATGTAACTGAAGCCCGTTAATGAGTATGGAGCAAATTAATACTCACAGTGTTCTTTCACCATTGCAGGGCCATTTTAACCATACCGGAAATCATTAGAAGATGCAAATGGGAAGATGGAAGATTCCAGTTGAGTCTGAATCCTTGTGTGATTGATGGCCAGCACAAATCCCTTACAGCTGGCCTGGGTGCCCATGTGTTCAGATGGCAGCCAGGGCTCCCTGCAGGGGCTGTTTGCCTCTCAGGTAATCCCACTCTCCTCTGCAGAAGGCCAGGAACATCCTAAGTATGTTGGCTCATTGCAGCCTATTCTCTAATGTCCTCTGCTGGACAGTAAATTATCTAGAAGTCAACAAATTCTGTGTCAAACTTCCTAGATGTTCCGGAGCCTCTTAGCTCATGTAATCAAAAGGCTCAGCCAGAGAGAGATCTCACTGTCTGTGGACTTTGGGGTTGTTTCTGGACATAACCAGGGCTGCTCACACACTCTTTTTAATTAAAAGACTTATTTCTATATTTAAAATGCTCTATAATCTTGAAGTGATTTTTTTTTCTAAATATTTAATGTCCAATCAAGCTTTAGGTAATTCTCTAAGTTACTAGGGACAGAACCCCATTTATATTAAAAAGGAACTTGTGGGCAGCTGCTGGGCTTTGGGTTTGTGTGTAACTCTGGAGACTGCCTTGTTTTCACCAGATCAGGAAGCTTCCTGAGCGGAGGTCCTAAAGAAATGACTGGATTAGAGAACTGATTTCACATTCTTTAACTGGAAGCTGGAGGTGGGGCTCAGCCCTGTCTTCCATCTGTCCATCATGGTCTTTACAGGGCTTGTGTTCCCTACTAGGAAGTGCCCAGTCCATACTAGCACTAATGTGTGGTCATGTTGCTGTCCACACTGCAGAATTGGGACAAGGGACACCAGGCTGCTGGAACTAGAGTGATGCTATTTGTGAGGGAGATGTTCCCACATCACAGGACAATGGCTGTTAAAGCAAGGAAGAAGCCAGTACTACAGCTGGCTTAGAGGTGACAGTCCATGCCCAAACAAGACTGTGAGAAAGACATGATGGTTTGTAGCCTTAAAATGTTGAGGCTGAGTTGTTGTTTGTTTTGTTTTGTTTTCAAAGAGCTTTAGTTTTGTTTTGTGTTTCTCAAAAATGATGTTAATTTTTATAAACAAATACAGATCGCCTAAACTCCCATTTCTTTTCATCTGTGAACTCTGCCCCTAGATTCATGGAAAGGGAAGTCCATGTTTTTGTGCGAGGTGTTTGGTGCTTACGGAAGCACACAGTTCACTCGGGCTGTTTCTGTGAACCTAGCAGTCCCTCTGACTGCCATCCACCTGATGAGAAACATCCCTGCTCTGTTTTGGACCCAGTAGACTCTGATTCTGTCTTCTCTCTACTGGAAGTATCATGAGTGACCTTGAAAAACCACCTTAAAACTTAAAAAAAAAAATTACGTTCAGTGTGGTGTGTGTTTGTGTGTGCACGTGTGTGCGCATGCATTCCCCTGAGAGACCAAAGATTTAAAAATCAGTAGGTATTGTTTTAAAGTTTAAAGCACAAGCCTAAACAGAGGCCAGTAAATGGAGATATGTCCAGCCACCTTCAGGGAAAAACTAGCCTTAATGCCCTGAGGGGAAGAACTAGCCTTACTGTATTCTTTCCTGCCCACTAGAGATAGAGTTGGTAGGAAACCGGCCCCTCTCCCCTAGGAAGGGAAGCCAGGCCATTAATGGTTTGGGGGCCTTCCTATAGCAAATCAATTCAAAATGCAACATCCTTTATTGGTTTCAACCAGTAGACGCTTGCCAGGCAGGAATCCCCCTGCTTTGGGCATGCTGGGAGGGACTGGACTCTTTAAATCACCCAGCTAACCTGAGCACGGGGCTCTCGGCTCTCACAACTTCAGCGGTGAGGGTGTGAGCCCAAGCTGTAGCTTGTAATAAAAGATCCTCGTGTTTTGCAACAGATTTGTCTCCTGGTGGTCTTTTGGGGTTTCACAAATTGGGCACAACACTTCCATTCAGAGTATGTGTGGAAGTCAGAGGACAACTTGCTGGAGCCAGTTCTCTTCTTCCACCACATGGGATCTGGAGATGAAACTCGGGTGTCAGGCTTGTTTGGCAGCAAGCACCTTTACCCATGAAGCCATCTCTCTAACCCAAGAAGTTCTTCAAGCTTCTTTCTCCTCATCTGTGTTGGATGGTGGTAGCACACGGGATTGTCCATCAGTACTGAAGGCAGCACACTCAGTGGGCCTAGGGTGTCTCCTGCAACAGCCTTTTCCCTTGCTGTGTAGTCCCTCCGGGTCCCTTTTCTTTTGAGAAGCCAAGGTCAGGGAAGATTACCAAGGGAAAAGGACAATAGGGTGAGGTGAGGCTGGCCATCTTTTGGAACAAGTAGTTTCATCTCTGATGCCTGGAATTGTCAGACTGTACAGAGCAAGAACACCAAGGAGATGACACTGGGCAGCATATGTGCTTTTTCAGCATCTTTCCTCTAGAAAACAAGTGGGGCTCTGAAACCCCAACCTTGCAGCCTTCGCCACTGACAGCTTCCTGTCCCAGCAGGAATCAGCCTGTGCCTGTGGTATCCTCAGGAGAGTGGTATAGTTTGGCAGTGCATCGTCCAGCTAACCCTGCCACGTTCTACATCCTCACTTTCACCTTGACCCCACTTGCTTAGTTCTATAGTACCATTGGTCCTTGAACCCAACCTCTCTCCTTCAGACCATGCAGTTTTGAGGGGGTAGGTATGGAAAATTTGGGTAACATCTTGTTTTAAATGGTCTTTGTATGATTATAAAACAAAACTATTCATCACAGAAGAATGGGATAACAAGCCTATCCCTGGGGGATTGCAGTCAGTGGCCTGAAGCAACTCTTTGGTTCTAACAAAATGCTATCTGATAAGTGTCCTTCACATCATCATAGGTCATTGTAATTTTTTTTGGGGGGAGGGCAGGAAAAAGATGGTTTTACATGAGATGAAAATGTAAATTAAAAATGTGCAGATAAGGATTAGCTCTATCACTCATCTTTTAAAAGTTATATGACTGGGCGGTGGTGGCCCATGCCTTTAATTTCAGTACGTGGGGGCAGAGGCAGGTGAATCTGAGTTTGAGGTCAACCTGGTGTACAGATTGACAGATCGAGTTCTAGGACAACCAGGGCTACACAGAAACCCCTGTCTGGAAAAACAAAAACCAGTAGGGTGTCTGTCTTGAGATGTTAATCTGCTAGGTGTGGTGGCACAGGCCTGTAATTCCAGCACTCAGGGAGGCAGAGGCAGGTGGATTGCTGTGAGTTCAAGGCCAGCCTAGTCTACAAAGTGAGTCCATGACAGCCAAGGCTACACAGAGAAACCTTGTCTAGAAAGAGAGAGAGGCATTAATGTATATAGGTTCCAAGTTAGACTACATGGCTGTGCCCTTACTGTCTTGGGATGTCCTCAGAGTGTTCTGTCATTGAACAGGAAACAGAGTAAGCACCCTAGTGTCCAATCTTTCAAGGGGGAAAGGCAGGAATGGAAGAAAGTTTTCAAACTTTGTTCTTGTGGCTTGAACTCTGTTCTCTAGCACCTTGGAAGCCTCCTCTACCTCCAAAGCCTCCTTGACTTCTTCTACCAAATCTACCTCTTCCTCAGCCACCTTCACCTGTAGGCTTCGCCTAGTCCAAGGTAGCTTTTTTTTTTTTTTTTTTTTTTCCAATGCCACAATCTTCCATGGCCTCCTTGGCAATTTTGGCATCTTCCTTACTGTTGAAGTCTACAAAACCAAACCCTTTGGAGGGCCCAGTCTCCTGATTAGTGACTATTCTTGCATGAATAGAGCCCTAAACTGATTCTTTAAGGTCTCTTCTGTGGTTTCCTCCAACAGACCTTTGACAGAGTTTTGGATGGCTGACTTCTTGTATTAGGTGATCCCCTGGGTCCTTGTAACTCCAGCCTGATTATTCTACCCTCAATCTCCATTTTCTTACAGGGGTTTAAAGCTTTAGCATCTTCAAATGAAACAGATTCTATAACTGCATGCCCTTTAGATTTGCCATTTGGATTCTGGGCACTTTGATGAAAGTTGCTTTCTCAAATACTTCCTGAAGAGTTTCTTTGGTTGTACTATAGGAAGGTTACTTAAAACCAAAGTTTTTGCTTCACCAATCCAAGAGCTTTTCCTTCCAGCTCTCTCTTGCTTCTGTCCTTTCTCCAGTGTAGCAGAGTGAAAACAGATTGCCCTCATGCTCTGCCCCTCCTCATGCTCTGCCCCTCCTTTTCTTCAGTTTCTGCTTCTTCGTCTGCCTTAAACTCATGAGTGATCCCTTTACTTGCCCCACCCTTGCTGACCACTGTCATCTCCATGCATATTTAAACACTTCATTCTTTCTCCGTGATTTTGAAAGATGGGGTTTTGGCTAAAGGTGTTCTTGCAGCCCCAACATTCTTACTGTCTCTTTTGTTTGTTTGTTTGTTTTCTAGTTTAATTTTATTACCAAACATTTTTTTTTTAAACCAATGAGTTCCAAAACCTTCTCTGGGTCTTTAGCAGACTTAAAATCCACATAACCAAATTTCCTATTTGTACCAGTTGGGACAGCAAGATCAGTTTTAGCAGAACGTCTGGTGGCAATTTTAATTTAGCAGCAGATTTGCTGGGGTTAAGGGTTCCAGCAAACAGGCTGAAGGTGTGCTTGTTTTGAGCCTTCTGCTTTCTGTTTTGTGGCACCTGGAGCATCTTTCTGTTTCATTTCTTTCTTTTTCCAGGTGCTACTTTAACAGGCTTCTCATCTTCCTCTTCCTCCTCTTCATCCTCCTTTTCATCCTCTTGGTCACACTCTTGTCTTTCATAGGAACATCCTTTACAAGACCCTTCTCTCCTTTGGACAGAGTTATCTTTGAAGCATCTTCTTCAGAGTAATATTTCTCTTAAGTTATTATTCTCTTCCTCACCATCATCTTCCTCATCCTCCATCCTCTGAAGCAGAAGCAGCAACTACTGCTTTCTCTGGTTTCACTGCTTTCACAACTGGCAGCTCAGATGACTCCTCCTCATCTTCATCTTCATCACTGTCATCTTCATCATCTTCATTAATCCTCATCACTTTCTTTCTTTTTGGCATCCTTACTGGTCTTGGACCCCTTGGCTGGAGCGATAGCTCCCCTTTTTAACAGGGGATGCTAAAAATGCTTTTGCGTGTGTGGCAACTTTAACCTTTCTTGTTTGTGCAACTATTACCTTTGCTGGGGCTGTGGTAGCCTTCTTGTCTTTTTTCTGAGGAATGACTACTTCTTCACCACTGCTATCATCTTCATCTTCATCTTCTGACACTTCTTCACCTTCACTATCTTCCACCTCCTTTGGGGGAGAGGAGCCATTTTCTTGGAATCACTGTGATTTTTACTAGCCTTTGTGAGTTTCACCAAGATGACAGGTTATGGCATGTGTGGTGAGAGAGCAGCACAGAAGAGCAGAGGAAAACTCAAGCGACTCCTATGGCAAGCTCAGCTGAGGACAATGAA